TCGTTTCTCCATGCGAATTTAACAGGGAAAAGATGTAAATGTTGGCATGAAATACCTGGCTGTCGCTTGTTACCGTTTAGATGATGAAACAATAACTCGTCTCTCTGTTTTGGACAAATGCTATGTGTTCATCAAAACAGTGCCTTCCTATGGTGTTGATGTTTATTTTTAGACTGTTGATTAAAAAGTGGGCTGTTGTGATTGGAAAACACATTGGAATTATCATTCACCAGTGCGTCACCTCTGCTTCGCAGAGGCTCGCACTGGCCCTATTTTCTGTATGCTTTACTCATTCCCGCACAAAAGTGACAATGAAACTCACCACGCTATGCCGACTATCACGAATGATTTGTAAACAACTATTCATTCTAAAAGCTTTTCCAGATGAGATCGGTAATTTCGCGTGAATGAAACTTCTCCCAAAGGAACAAATGCTGATTTGAATCGGTTTTTGGAGTTTTCATGGCTTGGCATTTGCCATAAGATGCAATGTCACCGTGGGCTATAGGGCTTATCAAATCGAGTGTCGCTTGCACCAGCATCTCCACCTTCGCGCTGGACTCTGCGTCTCTTCTGCGGCACATGTTCCCTAGTCACTTCCAATTGATTGAGACTCCGCCTTTCCCGCGCTCGCCCTGGGAAAGTGCCTTAGAGAGCAGCTCCGCGGAAGAGACGCAGAATCCAGCGCGAAGATGGAGATGCTGGTGCGAACGACACTCAGTTTGATAAGCCCTATACATCTCTGTGCAAAAATCTTTTCAAATGATCGGGTGAAATCTTGGCAAAGTGAACACTTACGCAACCAAATCTTTTTGGACCCGTTTTTGCAAATTAATAAACTTTGGGTCAATTTTTTGAGCTAAAGTCCATCGTTTGCACATTAACTTGTCAGACAATCCGTGACCCTGCAAAAAGTTGTGCTATAGGCACAATTTTACTGACCAAAAGCCAAGTGGATCCGATTGACGCGCATTTTTGAGGGATCCACGCAACAGATCCGCTTATGCTTTTGTACAGTGGACTCTCATGTAAGTAGCATGCTCTATGCAAAACTTGGGCTCAGGAAATTCATTGGAACTCGCTCCATGAATTTCGTGACAGACAGAGATTCAGACACACACACATACACAAACGTAAACAACCCTTAGCCCGTTATTATAAGTTACTAGCTGGCTTACCCGGCTCCGCCGTATCCGGACCAAACTTGGCACACATACACTGCGGGCCCCGGCGGGTGTCACAGTCCACTTTTCGTTATCGATCGATGTCGATTTTACCGATTTTTATCGATTTTTTGCAGAGTTCACCTACAGGGCTAGGAGTTGGCACAGGGGGGTAATCGAGCATGGGGATTCCGAATACAACATTAGTTTTCAGGATCGTCCATTACTTTTATCGATTTTATCGATTTTTTTTGTAAAGTTTGACCTGCGGGGCTGGGAGTTTGCACAGGGGGGTAATCGAGCATGCTGTTTACGAACACAATATAAGTTTTCAGGATCGTCCATTACTTTTATCGATTTTATCGATTTTTTTTGTAAAGTTTGACCTGCGGGGCTGGGAGTTTGCACAGGGGGGTAATCGAGCATGCAGATTACGAACACAATATTAGTTTTCAGGATCGTCCATTACTTTTTCGATTTTATCGATTTTTTGAAAATTTGAGCTAGGGGGCTGGAATTTGGCACAGGAGTGTAATCGAGCATGCTGATCACCCCCCTGGGGGTGATCAGCATGCTCGATTACCCCCCTGTGCCAACTCCCAGCCCCCTAGCTCAAACTTTGCAAAAAAATCGATAAAATCGATAATAGTAATCGATAATCCCGAAAACCAATATTGTATTCGGAATCCTCATGCTCGATTACCCCCCTGTGCCAACTCCCAGCCCCGTAGCTCAAACTTTGCAAAAAAATCGATAAAATCGATAAAAGTAATCGATAATCCTGAAAACCAGTATTGTATTCGGAATCCCCATGCTCGATTACCCCCCTGTGCGAACTCCCAGCCCCGTAGCTCAAACTTTGCAAAAAAATCGATAAAATCGATAAAAGTAATCGATAATCCTGAAAACCAATATTGTATTCGGAATCCCCATGCTCGATTACCCCCCTGTGCGAACTCCCAGCCCCGTAGCTCAAACTTTGCAAAAAAATCGATAAAATCGATAAAAGTAATCGATAATCCTGAAAACCAGTATTGTATTCGGAATCCCCATGCTCGATTACCCCCCCTATGCCAACTCCCAGCCCCGTAGGTGAACTCAGCAAAAAAATCGATAAAAATCGATAAAATCGATATCGATCGATGACGAAAAGTAGCCTATGACACCCGCCGGGGCCCGAAGTGTATGTGTGCCAAGTTTGGTCCGGATCGGTTCAGAAATGGAATTTTCTATATAATTTTCTAATTTTCTACATACGTACACACATACAGACAGACAGACAGACAGACAGACAGACAGACAGACATACAGACATACATACAAACAGACATTCAGCTTTATATATAAGATGATTCTATGACTAAGAGGCGCGAAAATTGCACACATTGTCTAGACAAGCTTAATCGTGTACTTAGCAAGTTTATACTTGTCATTCATCTCGTCCAGGTTTATTCACTCTTTGGAGACAGGGAAGAACAAACTCAAACTTGTTGAGACAATGTCCGCAATGCGGTCACACGTCTCCTAGTCATAGCATAGATGATACAGTGATATATAGTCTACATAGACAAAATCTTGATAAAGCCTGTCAAAATAAAGATGATTTGTCAATTTTCTTTGACACGTAGCAAGAACTCGACACTATTTCCTGTGAAGTTATGATCGAATTTGGTGCAAGGAAAGACGCATTATTCTTTTTTGAAAAAAATGGGTCCGGGGATAACTGAAAAGTACCGTTTCTGCATCATCTTAAAGCTATTTTCCCGTTCTTTGCGATGCTACTGAACCTTGATAATCAGTGTACAAAAATTGCTAATTCGAGATTTACGCTCAATATTGAAGTTTGCCCGCTGTCATAATCAAAAAAATATTTTTGAATGAAATTTTTGCAGTTCTGTCAATAAATTCTGCAGATCGCAGAATTTATAGGGACCGGTCATGCCTCGTCACTACGCGATTTTAGATTGCTACGATTGTTCATAATCTTCCTTAGGCGCATACTCTGCGAGCAAGTTTTGGCATGTACGCATAAGCTTACAAAGGCTATGCGCCTAGGTATGCACTTGAATTGCACATGCGGTAGGTTTGCGGACATCTGGCAAATCGCCAGATCGCGAATCGCTGCGATTTTGCAAAAATCGCGCGAGCTATATTGACGCCTAAGGGTGTAATGGGGTAATATATGCGCAATTTTATTCATAGAAAGTGGCTTACTTCCTGGATTTATTTTCAAAGGTAAAAGCTTTGCTTGAATATTTTAAGAGTGACAACAGTCTTCGCATGACGACAAGCAACTGATGTGTCCAATATTGTGCAAGTTAGTGTAAAGTAGGAGGACCATCAGCCAATTAGCTTTTTCCACCTACGACAAGTAAAAAAATATTAGAAGGCACTGAGGTAGAGCTGAATAACGGCTTTTTGATTTGGTCATGAAAACTTCTATGCAGCAACGTCTACATAGATTTGCTTCAGACATAAAATACTCTCTGTTCAGGCTACTCATTGATGACGGCCAGTATCTTCTCATACTTCTGTAACAACATAGATATATTCAAATAGTCGTCTGATGGAAACATTGCAAAATTTCTTTGATCCGCTTATACCTCGGTTGCATTTTTCACATTATTTACTGTTCATATGATATCCAACTGCTCAATTTAGCAAAGTTAGAACTGTCCGGAAACGTTGATTTTGAAAAAACTTTGGATCAGAAGCCCACAAAACGAACAGAGTTTTCGGAAAAGTATAACACTAATGGAGGTACATAATGTAGTCTGCAACGGAAAATGAGTCGTCTAACATCTATTTGATGTAAGATTTCCATAGACGGAGATTTTTGGAGGCTTAACCCATGTTCAATCAAGGATTGTCTTTTATGATGACGTCCATCGGTAACGTTTTCTGAGTCGTGAATGTTGTTTCTGCTTGATCGTAAAATTCGTTTTATAGACCCCCACACTTACAAATGAAATGAACACATGTGCAATGACGAGTTGCACCGGAATTTGACATTTTCTGAACATTTTTGAAATAGAATTACTGCTGTAAATTGCTACTTATCCTCATTACTTGTTTCATTATCAAAACTCACTTGTTCTCCCCACTTATTTAAGCTTTCCCGTCAGCATCAGGAAAGGTAATTTTGAGCTTATGATGAAGTCACTCCATTTTACAGCACTATTATGTACAACTTTGAACCTGCAGAGTTATAGATCAGTTTTGTATTGTATTGAGAGAACAGCAAAAACAAGAACTCGGTTCAAAAAGTGAAAGCTATAAGTGTTCGTAGAAACAACATTCATTCACTATCACTCGACTTTTTCATATTCTTAGTTAGAAAACGCAGTTCATACTAAATAAAATCAAAATTCTGTGGAGACTTACTTAGACATTAGAATTCTTAACGAGTACAACATTTGAAGAAAAATACAATTGTATCACTGCCGTATGTCAACAATAATTTTTGGTCCAACTACCACTACAAAGCTCATGATATTTTTCATACAAAACATAACGAAATGAACGAACTTTTTGGTAATGAAAATTATAATGAAATTATGAAAATTTGTTAATAAAAATAATCTTCAAATTATTCTTACAGTCCTTTCCATATCAAGCAATCATTCTCAATTCTAGAAGTAGACACATTTTCCCATTTCTAAATTGATCTCCACCCAAAGTTTTATCTTTTTTTCATCTCTATTTTAGGTCTAGCTAAAAAGTAGCGATCTACATTTGGGATCATTCAGATCGCGTTCCCGCCCACTACAGCGATCACTTCCAATAAATAACGTAGGCCACGATTCGGAGCAGCTCGGCGAACATTCCTAGCTTGCAGAGATTGTCATTCCTTGTCGTGCAGAGATTGCTCCTCTTCGTCGCTGCAACTAGCTGCTGGTCATCGGCTCGAACTTCGAGAGCACCTCTTTTGGGTCGATTCTCGAGTGGAGGCGGAGCGCCTCTTTTATTGCGATTGCTCGCCGTCTTCATCTAATCACGTTATCGACCCACCATACCGCACACAGACACGCATACATCCATCCCACCATCGGTTTTCCACATTCTGCTCTTTTGTCTCGTCGTCTCTTGCCTTATCAGAAGAGTCTCGCGCACCTGATCCTTTTTGCAGAGATGGACTCGGAACTGGCAGCACGCTGGAACGATTTGACGAGTTTTCTCAGCGAACCCACTAGGGAGAAGTGGCGGAAGACGATCATCGACGCCTATGCACCTCGGCCTTTCCGGTTCGCATTTCCTTATTTGCAGCGCCTTCAGCAAACACCTAACGCTTTTTAGGGGCATTCCCCACCTCTGTGCTATGTTCAAGCTGTTCGACAAGTACAAAGACCATCTGAGGGATCGCTATGCTACAGCTTTTGCCATATTCTTCAAAAAGTAGGTGCTGAGACGATTAGTGTTCTTTATACTCTGCTAACCTTACGCACTCTGAGAAAGTCGACGTGCTTGGTAGCTTGCGATAGGTAGATGTTAACTGTCTGCATTGGTTTTACTGCTATCGCGAATTCTTCAAAGTTTCAAAGTTCAAAAACTCTTACCTATTGACTTTTCTCCTCAGTGACATTTTTGTTACCTTTATCAGACCTAAGAGATCCACAAAAATTCAGGTAAAAGTCATGCATTCAATCCTAAATTCCGTAATTTTTCTTTTTTTTTAGCATAGTCTACGATCCACTGGCATCCGATAACGCCGAGAAAAGTGCGCAGCTTCTACATCAATTCGCTCAGGACACCACATTCGATTCTGTAAGCTTTTTTTCTATTTCAAAGTGACCACTTCGTCTATCAAAACGCCAAAATTGTCTCTTTTCTTCACTGTTAGGATGTATCACGCAACACTGTGAACTCATTCAGTTCTTCATATATTCTTTAACAAATTTCATATTGACTGCATTCTGTAAAAAAATTTCTTATTGTTGAAATCTCACTGCAGGGAGTTGGGAAGTTGCTGTGCGTGTCATAAAATGCAAGTCATTTTTTCACTTACTCTCTTGCATCGAATTATAGTGCAAAAACTCATGGCTATAACGCAATTTCCGCAAAAGATAAGGGGTTCAGATGGCAAATTTCCTCTCTTATTTTTGTCGATTTTTTTTGCTTCTTTAGTAATGCAAGAAATTTGCTCACAAACCTCAGGGCAATCATCGAATGTCCGAGCCAAGCCTATTGCTCAAAGCTTATAACTAATTCTATTCTCGTCAGTCAGCCATTTTTCATCGGCCTGGCGCATATGTCTTCTCGTTAAAGCCTCTGCCCATTTGAAATGTGACATTCTCGTTCCCCCTACTGCTTTTTGCCAAGCCCCCATGCCGTTTCTGTGATCGATACGCGCAGATGCAACGAGGGAAATTTGCGACTCTTTGTGAGCGACGTTGTGCCGATTGAATGAGCAGTAAACACGCAAATATTGAGACAAACAACTACGGCCGTGAGAACAAAGATTAGCCGAGGGCAGGTGATTTTTCCAGGAGAATTACGTTGCTGATCTCATCGTTGCCTCGGGTTCATACTCGACCGATGCGCATCTCACGCCGGGTGTTTCGGGTGACGAAGACCTGCACTACTTGATAGACTTCGACATGGCTTTCCTAGGAGATGATGAAGAGCTGTAGGTTACACTGGCAAATTATCCACCGAAATTCGTCTAATGGATCTTTTCCAGGTTTTCCCAGCATGAGAAAGCACAACGGAAGGAGTATAGCCATCTTAGTGACGAAGAGTACATGAAACAAAGAGAAAAGGTAAATTCCTTCTTGTGCTTTTTTGCTGCACATCTTATTTTCGCCCTGATTCAAAATATCATGTTATGCACTCAACATGCATGTTTCACATTATGACGACAGCAAGTGAAGGGGCGAGGGGGCAGGGTTTCCTTCAGCTTCTCTGAAAATGGCTCGCGGTGTTTTCAAAAGCTGGCATAGAACAATCTGACCTCCGAAGATAAGCGACTAATTAAACTGAAAATTACCCTTACCCTATTGTAATCTCCTAAAGCTCAGCACGGTGGAACAGTAACTCTTAAAAAGACAAAACATGTTTTTCACGTCACTTCATAACTTGGATTTTCGCCGCAAGGTTACCGTAACCTACCTTATGAAGTCAGGAAACGAAGTGTGTGATTACATAATCATTGCTTTCACATTTTCTCTATACACATGTCTGAATCCATCTTAGTTGATTCTGAAAACATTAACAATCTCAACAAAATTTAGTCATCCGAAATCGCAGAAATTGAAAATGGGCCTTATTGTGAATGTGGCACGAAGGAATTCGAAATTTGTTGCGAAGTATCCTAGGCGGGAATTTCTGCTTATGGAGCTTGGAGAATTAAGCAAGTTACTGCCTTTTTGAATTAAAATCTGCGGAATTGATTTCTTATAAAAAAAGGCATTGTCGCCCTTCCGAACTTTCTTGAATCTTAGTTTGAAAAATTTCGGCAACTAGTCTCGTATGCATTTTACCCGCTATATTACATGAAGATGTTGACTGAAAATGTTGAGTGAGATCCGACAAAAATCTGCGACTTTTCATTTCTTATGTTACTTACATGAAAAAAATTCACGAGGCTGAGTTTTCTATCCAGCGTTCTATTTCAGTGTTAAGATTTTCAAATAAAAAATTTCACTAAATTTCACAGCGATAATTTTCGGTCAGCATGCTATTCTCAATACCGTAAAGTGGGTCTCCCCTGTTTTCTCCGCATTCTGATCACTTTTCCGCTTTGCTATCGCAAAGAAACAAGTACTTTTGTGGACATACTGGTTGATTAAGCGTGTACGTCTTTTTTTCCAAAAGATCCATTCCTTGTACCCTTATATAATTAGGAGAACCCTGGCTCTATCCGATGACTTAGAGGTATAAAGTTTCTTTTAGTTGAAAAAAGAAAGGGACCGCACAAGCCTTAATGCCCTGACAATATCTCGCGCGATTTGGTCATCACGCGATTTGGCAATCTGCTAGATTTTTGCAAAACCACTCCTCGAAAATTTCATGTTGGTGCGCACAACTTTGTGGTTAATGAAATAACTCAAATTCTGTATATCCAGAGTGTGATTACGATGAACAACAAATATTTGGAGCATTGTCAAATCGCGTCTGCTGAAATCGCGCGAGGTATGGCCAAAGCCTGAGTGTTGAATGAGTGAGCGTTTCGTATCTCTTGCCATTACATTCTGGATGTATCCTTTGAAGTTTGAAAATCTCGTTGGTGTCATTTTCTTACATTACTGTGATCAGTTTCTTCCGTTAGTATTTTTTTTCTCTTTTCAATCTAATTTCCGTATTCAAATGTATGCATCCTGCAAAAGCCTGCAAAAAGCTGTAGACAAACGGAGCTCGATATTCTGAGTGCACTCCATTGTTTGCTTGAAATGTTGACCAGTGTAATCGAAATTTGAGGGCTAAAGCGCACTCGAGCGGCATACCTACGCACTCCCGCCGACCGCACCCGACATGTACTTTATCAACAGCAACAAGACATTCTTGAGAAATTGCTCGAGACGACGTTTTCGAGACAAAAACAGAAACGGCTGCTTTTTTGGCTGTCGCGCATATGGCACAGTATGGGAGCAAGCGATTGAGTGTGATGGAGTGTGCTGATGCCATTCTTAGTCACAATGATCAAGATCCGGACGCTTAGAATATTTTGCGTGAAGTACAGTCCCGAAACAAAAAAGGTACCATAATTACTAACTCTTTCTATGTGGTAAACGAATTTTTTAATGTTAGAATTTTCTGCGATAAGTTGCAAGATCCACCCCTCTTCCTCTCTTACAACAACTATCAGGTTCAGAAAGCGGGGTCTGCATTTATTATTAGGTTGGCTAATAAATAATGCTGGTCGCTTTTGCGGCTCTTACAGATGCCGCAGACATTTTTTGCCTAGTATTTGCTCCTCTGGAAAGAGCACTTCGATGAGAATTGGAGCATAAAAACTGTTTGAGTGGAATCTATTTTGCAGTGAATAGTGCAGTGAACCGAGAGGTAAGAAAACCCAATTTTCTCATTGTGCGCAAATATGAGAAAATTTGGTTTATTCGGGCAAAGAATTTTGGAATGGCAGATATTTATTGAAATTCGCCAAGTAAGGAAAACTTGTCTGTATCCAAATACCGAATTGATTGTTATTCTCCACATCCTTTAGAGCATGAAACGAAGTTGAGTGACAGAATTGAGGTCTTGGAAATTTAGCCATTTTGGACATTACTGTCCCTTGTTAATGATTAAAAATTCTGAGCAGTTGGTATGTGATAGAGGAAGCTTTGGTCTACTTATCCACAAAAAATCATGGCTAAAAAACAAGTAGGAAAAATTATATGAAGATTTTCATGCCAAAATGGAATTATTTTTAGCCAACCTAATAATATTCTATCTTCTCGAATTGCCTAGAAATTTGATTCTGAGACTACCATTCCGAGTGTGACGTACACATTCTTGGTATTATGGATTGCCCGGAGATTGATGACAGTTCCTTATGCGATCGCGGAGGGTAGGTATGAAGATGTTGGGAATATGGCGTTTGGCGGAGAGCAAGTTCTAAAAGATGGATCTGTATACGCAGAAAGTTCGGTCAGAGTGAATTTTGAAAGTAAAATCCGAAAGGGTCCTGCGAACCTCCGACTTGTTCATGCATATAGTCAGACATCCACATGCGTGTACTATCGACAATTTCTTGAGGACTGAAAATTGAAAAGCAAAAACAGAAAATGCGAAAATACTGGCTTTTTCAGCCTTTCATACTGATTTGATATCTCTTCGAAACTAAAAAAAGCTCGCAGAACGTTAAATATTTATGGGTGTAATTCCAAAAAACTGAAGTATAGAATTATCTTTAGGACCGCTGAAAAAATACGGTGTCTGATGTTGGGGTATGTGCGTGGCCAAGTTTGAGATTTGCAGGAACTTTATGGCTGGAGATGTTGTCTTTGGATTTTTACACTTTCAGTTTTTGCCTTCAATCACCTGGGCCAGGCTTTTTGCGATTGTGCACATGCATCTTGTGGTTTTCCTCTACCTAACGATATTGCCATTTTTATATCTACTCTGCAATCGCCAAAGATAGGCATTATTTCCCAAACAACCCAATAGATCACATTGTGTGTCATAAATAAGTGCGAACTGTATGATCGGTGTCGAGGTAGAAAATTTACAGGTTTTCCGAAAGCTAGTCAAATTTGAAAATTCAATTTCACCGGCTTGTTATTGATTACCCAATTCAAATTCGAATTCCAGCCTTCGATAAAGGCTTTTTTTGTTGCCAAAAATCAAACGGTATCTACTTTTGTAGCTTACATCATGACCTTTATAATGCCGAAAAATGAGAACGCTACACTCAGAAAGAAAGAAAAAAGTCATGAATTATCTGCAAGATTAAGTTGCAAATAACCTGACAAATAACTTTCTCAGTGATTTAGTACACTTTACAAATTATTAGCAAACTCTTGAACACTAAGACAAAGCCATGATTTTATATAAAAAAGTTTTCTAAAGCTTACTCGCGTTTTAAGATAAGAATTCGTCCTGGTTCTCTGAAAATTAAATCACTTGTAGAATTCACTAATGTAGAAGAACTCTCGAAAATCTCATGACCCACTTGAAGGGATGATAGATTGGCTTGTCCAAAGTATTTTGTAATGTTGAAACAAAACTGTTTTGTTAAGCTTCCTTCATGAATCTAAGTTTATGCTGTAAACGTCGATGATTTTCCCTTTTGTAGGTGGAAACAGGTCGTAATAATGCATTGTGCTGGATTTGCACATCATGCGCCTATGTCGTAAAAAGTATGAAAGCTATTACAAAACCATCATTTGCATATTACTTTCGTAAAGCCAGAGTGTAGTTAACGCTTTACGGATTGTACAATCTGGAAATAGGGAGTATATTGTAATTTGAGTGAGAAAACCTTTTGAGAAAATCTTGGAATGATGTTTTTGAAGTCGATAGTGAGAGGGTGGTTACTTATGTACTTATTGTGTTGTTAAAGGCGAAAGATTCTGGAATTGATGACGTTGCAATTCTTGTGAAAGAGCTTGAAGGCAGCGTCCAGAAAAAATCTAAGCCTTTCCATTAGTACCTAGCCTTAGTAGGTCCCAGGAGAGGAGCATCTGCGTTGGTCCTGTCTCTGAATGGAAGATACTAGACCTGGAGCCCACAAAAATGCCATCAATAGGGGAGGGAGTTGCACATTTTGACTGACTGTAATCAGGGCCACGCATAGGCCCCAGAATCGCAGAAACATGAAAGGCGAAATTTGAATGGACCTTCCTTTGATTTTACCTACATTTCTGTTTTGGGGACTAAGCAGCCCCGAACTATAATATTACTTGAGAATGCATTTGAGAGCTGATCTGACTCATCCTGTAGCCTACAGCTGGACGACTATCTCTAAAGATTGCTTGAGAAAGCATTGTGTGGTTGAAGATGTTAGGAATGTGCAGAGAGTGGCATTTTGATGAATTGCGAGAGCGAACGAGAGACTCATGACGAATTGCAATCGCAAGAGTTCTGCAATGGACTTTGGGAACGGTCTAGATGTAGTCTGATGAAGTACTATTTGAGCTTATTGTTTTGATGATATGTAATTTCACTTACTATACTTTATATGGCAACAAATTCGCAGATAAGGCAGCGTGCAAGGTTTACGGTGCAGCAAATCCCTCTACCCTCAGACTACTATGTGTCCATAAACTACGTTGAGAAAATTGATCAATATAATTTATCATAATGCTGAAAAACGAGAATG